TGACACATTCTTAATAATTAACAAGCCAAGAATATGCAAACTAAATCTTATCCACAAACACATCTTAGAATGATAATAAATATTAAAAATGTTAAGTTAGGAATTAATGGCGTGTGGCACCCTCTCAAAGTAGGTTAATTCCAGATGAATTTAAAAATACAAACAGCGCGTACATATATAAAATCTATAAAACTTCAGGGGTAGGGGGGACTTAAATTTATAATAAGTATGGAGTTTTGAAGGAAGTTTCTCAATATAAACATTCAAAATCAGGAGTTTCTTCATTGAAAATCAAAATTTGAAAAAAGTAAATTTTTATCAAAAAAAGGTTAATCTTTTGAGTCTTTCAAAAATACCTTTTTCTTTAAATTTATTATTTTCTTAGAACTTGACATTATTTTTTAACCTTAAAAAATGTTGAGGTAATTTTTAATAAATTCTAGCAGTGTAGTTAAATGCATGATGAGATCGATAGATTGTTAAATACAAATATTGCTGCTTATTTAGGTTATTTTGCTATTTTTAATCCTTTACTTATAATTATGATACATTTAGTAAAGAAGTTTTAATTGATTTGTTTAATAATTAACTAGCTAATAATTTGATTTTATAATTAATTGATTAATCTTATCATGGAAATCTTAAAATTGGTTGCCACTTAATCAATAACATATTCGAAAATCACATTGCAGCACTGAATTTTCGGCTGAAAATATACAAAATTCTTAAAAATAATTTTTTCTTGTGAATTTTTTAAAAAATACTTGGAATTTTTCTTACCGTTTATAAATTACACAGTGACATTCATATAATCTATTTCAAATATTTTTAATTGAACATTTTAAATATATTTTAGAACTTGTTTGCATTACAATGATTAACATCGTAAAGGAGCAATGATGAAAGATTCAGGTTTTGAATGGTCCAAACATTGTCAATTAAAAAGATGAAGGAAGCATTTTCACAAGTTGTCCTTTCCGGGCGAAACTTTCAATTTTTAACGATCGTTAAGCTCGTGACAGCGCAGTAGTGGGCAGTTAAACCATATTTGGAACAGTTGAAAATATAATTGATTTTATTCAAAACTTTTTCTGTCAACCGTTTTATGATTCTATGATATGTGCACTGGTAGAAGAAATTCCTCATATTTTGTTTTAAATCCCAAACAGAATATGAGAGATTTAGAAATTTGAGAGATTTCTCTAAATTACTTTGTTCATAAATGCAGGACGCTTCGCGCCCTCATTTCTTATTAACAATTTTAACATTTAGCTGTTTTTCTGAACATCGCGGTTTTTAATCAGGCTAAAAATGTTGAATTTTTCTATTTAAATTGGCGCATTTAAAAAAAACGACATTTTTTCCGGTTTAATTTTCAATTTTGATGGTCCTGATCGGATCAGCTAATTTGACGTTTATTGGATTTAATGATAAATTGTTTAGGCTGGAACAAGTGCCATGATAGCTGATGATGATACTGCTTTAATAGGCACTCCAGGTATATACTTTTTAATGAAGAACTTTTTTACTCGAAATTCCTACATTTCTACAATTCGATGCTTTGTCTTTAGTCGATTCACCGACATAGGGTGAAACGACCTAGGGTCAAATGCTAGGGTCAAACGACATAAGGTAAAACGACCTAGGGTCAAATGCGAAACGGTCAAAAACGTAAAAAAGGGTAAAACGACATAGGGTCAAAAAGTTTCAAAAAAAGAACTTACAGCTTTTATGATTTTAAACAAATTAGAAAATCTTTTAATTTTTTTCTATACTTTATGAACGAATGAAAATTAGACGTAAAAAATCGAAAATTTGAAAAATACGGGAAATCGATTTTCGACTTACGCTTAAAGAATTGGTTGTAACTCACTAACTAATACCCGGTATATATATTTGTATACGTGTATATATTTATATGTTAGCTATAGAGCTGGCCAAACGGCTGTACCAAACTAGCTAAAATTTTATTTAGGTATATATATATCCTATATAAAGTATCTGAGATGTAATATATACTAAGATATATGCTAAATAAAGTATCTGAGATGTATTATATATCCTAAGATATATGCTATATAAAGTATCTGAGATGTAATATATACTAAGATATATGCTATATAAAGTATCTGAGATGTATTATATACTAAGATATATGCTATATAAAGTATCTGAGATGTATTATATA